CATTAAACAGCGCCATTGACTAATTAAACGCACTTCCAGGAAGGATGATTTTTAATTGATCACAGATGACGTGTTGTTTCCTCAGCTCAGAGAGACTGATTGGTGATAACAACAGAATACTGACTGCATACAAGGGGAAAAAAATAATTTTGATTTGAGGGGCTGTCTGAATCAAAGCAAATATTGGAGTAAATAATCTGAATAATGTTTAACCCTGTAATACCAAAATATAGAAAAAAATGAGCAAATTTGATGCGACGCCTCTGATGTAGAAATTAAAGATTTTTCAAAATTTTTACATTTTAGTAAGTTTTTAGGGAAATGTTGTAATATTGCAACAGGCGAACATTGCACTTGCTACACAGTGTGTTTGTGTATCCATTATTGCAGTGTCTGCAGCGTCCTCTCTTCGTCTTTACTGGGAAATGTGCAATCATGTCTTTGCGTACATCCAGTGGGGGGTGGTCCGATGACCTCTTGGCTGGGGGACTCACATCTGTTGAGGATGGTCTCTTCTGAGGATCCAAAGGGCTCCCTGATGTCAACTTCTGTGTGAATGTGTTCGTCTTCCCTGAAGATGGTCGCCCTCTCTTGGGTGTTGTGTTGTGTGTGTTCACCAGGATGAGAGAGGTTGCAAGTTGTGCCTGAAACTGTCTCCTGTTCAGTATCTCGTTCTTAGTCATCTTCAGAGTTTTACAGTCCCGCTTGTAGAGGAGCCAGGCGTTAATCACAGCAAGGATGATGGTGTGCTAGAAGATGTAAATGTTCCAGCGGTGGGATTTCATGGGGAACTTGTACTTGGCAGCAAATGAGTCTTGATTAATGTTTTCCAAAAGAACTAAATATGTATGTGTTCTAGACATTGTAATAAACACCAAAAAAAATATGTAAGGAATTTTACTTACTTGAATCTTGACAAATCCAGTCATGCAAAAAAAGGAGATGAGCTCAACGTGAAGTTTGGAAGTAGAGTGAGTTCATGGTTCGTGCGCTTGCGGGTGAATGAAGGCTTACAATGACTTACAAAGATACGAGCCGAGCTCCCCCTAGCTCCCCCGTAGTTCGCACCCTGGGCACAGTGATTCGTTCACAACCTGATTGGTCGGGTTGAATGACGTATATTTTGCGACGGAACTCACCGAATACCCCAAAACAAAAGCTGTGTTCGACTTAAAGTGGTGCTGTGCAGACCATGTATGACATCAAAGTACCCATTCAGAGATCGGTCTGCTCAGCGCCGCTTTAAGTCGAACACACATAATGCCGTCTGCTGGACTAAGCGCGCTCATTGCTGCGTGTACTTATGATTTTATTTTCACCACCTGCGAACTCATGAAGAGCTCATAAAAGGCACTTTACCTCTTCGTTGCTCCACGTTTGCCCCCTGCTCATTTTGTTTTAGATGGTACGGCTCATTCCGCGTCGTTAAATCATGTCGCATATCGTCGCATCTTGTCATTACTTCCTGTTTTTGGTTCGTTTAGAAGTGTTTGGTCCGTGATGCGTTCATATTTCATTCGAACCGCACCAGAGTTTGTTTGGAAGCGGACCGAGAACCATCTTTTTAGCGATCTCGGTCCGCTTGTTTGGTGCGCACCAGGGTTCGGATGGCAGCGTTCACACTTACTCAAATGAACCGCACTAACAGAGCAATCACACCAGGGTTCATGACAAGTGTGAACACACCCTTAATCTCATGCCTCATTATACCTCAGAATTCATTTTCATTGTTTTGTCATCACATAGTACCATGGTACCATGAAAGACTACTGTAGTATTCTTTGAATAATTCGCTTTTGATGAATATAGCTATTCAGCATGGCCGAACTTACCATTGTTCTTGACTGGGCTGCAGCCCATGGGCCCCGGCTTGTAGGGGGCCCTGCCTTTGCCCGTTTACGTTTGTTTGGTTTGTTCAGTTATGCCAGTCAGAAATTATTAGCCGCATTTTTACTGCGCACACAAGGGCTAAAGGGGCCAGCCGGGGCTAGCAGCTTCCACGAAGCTTCGACCTTCGAAGCCATAATCAAACAGCATCAACTGGGTATTTATTGTAATATTTATATAAACTGGGTGTTTATTGTATTATAATGACTATTTAATATTACATCTAAACTTTGACTAGGCTTTTGACATGTTGCATATTTACTGTACTATATGTGAACCTCAAAACATATTTTAATTTCTGTGTATTTTTCTGTTACTCTATAATGATGTTCTAGTTGAGGGCATTTGTAGTGTATAGATATAGGGCCCAAACATAGCTTCCTGCCCTGCTATTCAGTATGGTAAATAGTAGACAGGGGCTAGTTGTCACACTTTTTTTTTTTTTTTTTTATTCCAGTGAAGGTTTAATTTTTGGCTACAAAACAGCTATTAACCCTCGAATGCATAAACCAAAATAACTAAATTAATGCATAAAGAGGTCGTATTTGGAATTAATGATTTTCTTCAAAAAAAAAAAAAAAAAAGATCACCCAAAAATTTAAATTCTGTCATCATTTAACAGTTGTTGGTCCCTATTGACTTCCACAGTATGGGAAATGTACTGTAGAAATGAGTGGGGACCAGAAACTGCTTGTTTATCTTATTTTGTATTTTGTTTATCTTATTTTTCATTCATTCATTCATTCATGTATAGGGAATTATCCCTTTGGTGTACAAATGAAAATGATTGGTGATACACAAATTTGTCCACTTCTCTTAATGAATATGTGTATCACCACTTGGGGTAGTGATACACATTCCCCCCCCATCCTATGAACAAGAAATATGAAAATGACATTGAGAACAAGTTAAAGTTTGAGGAATTTGTGGAATTCAAGGGTTAAACTTTTCCATCATTATTGCCCATGAAAAAAATATACTTTTCTGGAGTAAATTAGGTAAGTTGTCACAAAATGGGAACTTGCCATTAGACCCCTCTTATGATTGTAAAGCGCTTTGGGTGTGCAGCTATACACAATGAAGTGCTATATAAACCCTTCATTCATTCAAATCATTTCATGAAATTTAAAAAAGACAAATAAAGTAAATACAGAAATATAAATCCATTGTTTTGGCCAACAGAAATTGTAATTCAAACATAAAGCACACATTTGACTGCAATGAAACATGCCCCAATCTGATTTTTATTGAGAATATTTTGTCCTCAGAACGCAGTTTAATCATCTAGTTTAAAAATTAGGCCTAGTTTTAAAAGTTAAGTTTTCATTTTAGTACAGTTAAGAACTAGATGTTTAAAATCACAGCTAGAAAATAGTAATTACATGTGTAACTGAACTGGATGTGTAACTGAACTTTCCTGTATTTGTAGTGCCGTGTTGTAAGCTTAGTATTAGTATTTTTTGCACGAATCGGCTGTTTGCATGCAGCATTTGCGCAGCTCCATTGGGGTGTGTTACATTGGATATTTCTCACGGAAACATGGCTCAATAACACAGTCCCAAACAGAGCGATTGAGCTAGAAGGGTGCTACATCTACAGAGCTGATAGAACAGCTGTGGACTCCGGTAAAAGCAAAGGTGGGGGCGTTTGCATCTGTAAACAGAGCTTGGTGCACTGATGCTGTTATTACTAAATCCCACTGTTCCTGCTGATCAGTTTATGTACCCCCGGATGCTAAGACAGCACAACTAGGACAGCACTCCCCAAATTTCATCAAAATGTATTTTGCCCTACAAGAGGAGACAACACTCTTGATCATGTTTATACAAACATCCCCGATGCATACAAAGTAACTCCCCTCCCCTATATTGGACAATTTGACCGCTTATCCCTGTTCTTGCTCCCCAAATATACCCCCATCATCAAACGTGTGAAACCCACTGTGAGGACTGTAAAAGTATGGCTAGAGGAAGCAGACTCTTTACTACAACATGAGTTCCAGTGCTTGTCAGGCCACACTGGTCTCACTCACAGACATTAGTATCTACACCAGCTCTGTTCTATACCACATTAACAGGTGTGGCGATAAAGTATCCACCCATAAAATAATTAAAACCTTCCCCAATCAGAAACCTTGGATGAACATGGAAGTCAGACTCCTGCTAAAAGCACGTGACATAGCTTTCAAATCTGGCAACCAAGAAGCCTACGGTTTATCCAGGGCCAATCTGAAGAGGGGAATTAAAGCTGCTAAACATAATTACAAACGGCGGATTGAGGATAAATTTAACAACAATGATCCTCGGCATATGTGGACAGGCACATGCCCTCACAGACTACAAACCATCAAATAGCACCCCTCCCCCAACCAGTAATGCCACACACCCAGGTGAACTGAACATCTTTCATGCTCGCTTCAGTCGTGGAAACACAGAATCACTCAACAAATCTGAGCTTAACAATTACGACTCCTCCATCCTCACCTTGAACACTGGCGTACCACAGGGCTGTGTTCTGAGCCCAATTCTCTACTCCCGTTTCACCCACGACTGCATACCTGTACATGGCTCTAACTCCATAATCAAGTATGTGGCTTGTATGGGAGGGTTGCAAGAAAAAAGCCACTCCTCAAGAAAGGCCACGAAAATATTGCAAATTCTAGATGTGCAAAGTTAGTAGAGACAGAGACATTTCCCAATAGACTAAAGACTGTAATTAAAGCAAAAGGTGGTTCAACAAAATACTGACACAAGGGGGTGATCCTTTTTCCAACTCAGTGATTCTGTTTTTTTATTTTTTATTTTCCTGACATGTTGGTGTTATATCTTTCACTTGGATGTTATAAGTTGCACTGAGTAAATACAGCGGGATAAAACAAAAACTGTGTCCATCTTCATTTTAGACTGCAAAGCAACCAAATGTGATTATTTTAAAGGGGTTTGATTCTTTTGTTTACCCACTGTACGTATTTACTCTTATTTATATACACTGGCTATTTGCACTTCTGGTTAGATGCTAACTGCATTTCATTGGCCCTGTACTCTGCACAATGACAATAAAGTTGAATCTAATCTATTATTACGTCCATCTAATTGGATTGAGTGCTGGTGATCGCTGGAGGATTGAAGACTGTAGAGTGAGAGGTTGTTGTGCTGTTGTCTGCGTTCATTCATACAGACACCAGCATGAAGGATCCACAGCTACCAGGTAAAGTTTATTTCTTCATGGAATAGAGTATAGGGAGAGTTTGTAATCAAGCAGAAAAAGTAAATGAATACATTTTAAATAAACTATCTCTTAGGGCTATACATTTTAAGACCTGTTTTTTTAGCAGTGGTTATGTGTCAGGTTGCATAGATTATGAATAATATATCAACCGAGAATAATGATAAAGATAATTTTCTTACAAGACAAATGTGATCCTCTATTAACTGCATATTGATCACAGTGGATATGCATAAGATCTCATCATTTGTTCATTGATTTGGAATGTTGTTAGTTAATAAATATTTAATTTCAACTCTTAATGTATGCTCCTAAACACAGTTGTTTTTTTAAGATGATGAACAGTTTCACAGTACAAAAGATGTTGGTGGAAAATAATTTTGTTGTTTTGTAGAATTTAAGTGCTAATTATGACCCTTAGATTTTTTTTTGGTGTTACAGTGCAAATGTTTTTTTATTAAAGGCAGCAAAAGTCATTAATGAAAAATAGTGTGATTAAATTAAGTCTTATTCCCAACTATTTGTTTTCTTCCTGCAGCATTGGTGTTACTGATATTGAAAATAGTTCAGTGGATATCCTGTGTATTTTTAGAAGTGTGTTGAGTCTGCAACCTGTGATGCATGGTCTTAACGTGGCTCCTAATCCACCCTTCTTAAAGACTTTTCTATTCAGACTTGCAAGCCTGATCTTGCCTCCAGTGCAGACATACTGGACATTTGAACTAAAATAGAAAGGACATGCAGGCATGGATTAGGATTATACAAGAACATCTAGAGGGATGCAACTATGCAATATTCCAAAACAGTGTTCGAAATGTTATTTCAATATGCTGGTGTCACGCAAGTCTTACATTATAGGTTAAGTCTTTAATGAAAAAAAAAAAAGAAAAAGAAAAAAGTGAAATTTATGGTAAAAAAAAAAAGTCAGCTGTGGTTGACAGAACTTCACTATAAAAATAGAGTATCGACATTTTAGGTTTTATGGATTGCACTTAAATTTACAGGGAAAAAAACTGTACATAATGTAAATACACCTACCTAAACTGTAAAAAAAAACAAAAAACTTTGAGTCTCAAATACTACATAAAAACCCATGTCAAAGCAACAGAATTCCCCCAAATGTTGCATTGCAGCATGAATAAATTATGTGGTTATTCTTAAAGGATTATTGTTTTGCTGTTTGCTGACTTCTTTTAAACTTTTGTTATTATTTTGTCACTATTGTTAGTTATTTGTTGTGTTGTGATGTAATACATTAAGTGTCCTATAAGACTATATATATATACTGTATGTCAAAATTACTGTTACTTAAGAATGCCTTGGCTGAATGAGGCATTGTGCATTTACTGAACAAATTCAAATTGACAAAACTTAGTACAGTTATTAAGACAACAGTTGAGCCTAAAAATCTGAATGCACCAAGTTGAATTGGATTTTGACCTTTTCTCAACAATTTATTTTTTTTACAGTGACTTGACTTGAAAAAAGGTAGCATCTAAACGAAGTAGTTTTGTTCAAGTAAAAAAAAACATTATTTAACATCACAGAATCAACCTAAATACAATAATTTATAACAAAAAAAATTGACAAATTAAAAATAATAGCTCCTAAAAAGCGTTTAAAGGGTGATATTTTAAGTCAAATATATATATATATATACACACACATTCTAAATTTTTAAATTAAAATTGTAGTTTTGTAAAGAAATGTAGTAACCGTTTATATTTGCATACAAAAAATAATTTCATCAGGTATAAGCCTTTACATTTCAAGGTTTTTAATGTCATGAGAAATAAAATTCAATTATGTCCTGACTTTTGTTTGGTAAATGTCTATGAATGTAAAAGCAATGGCCGTGTCAGTCTCCACAGACTGGGACACTTCCTCTCATTGACCTTCCATCCTGAAGGAAAGGTTTACAGGAGCTTAACCTTTAAAGGACGGGGTGAACAGGGATCGTGACACTGAAGCAGGAAATCTGCTTGTAATAGTCGGAGAATCGAACATCGAGTCCAGTGCAACAGTATAATTTATTATCATGCAAAACCTCTTATTAGCTGCAGTAATTAATTGTTTCTGTATATTCTTTAGAAACATGTATATACTCGTCGGCGCCGATGGCCTCGTGGGCAGCGTGCCTACATATAGCGCCTTTGCGCTTCAGGCGTCCCGAGTTCGAGTCCCAGCTTGTGGACCTTTCCCGATCCCAACCCCCTTTCTCTCTCACCCACTTTGCTTCCTGTCGATCTACTGTCCTATCTAAATAAAATGCCAAAAATAAATCTTTAAAAAAAAAATGAAACATGTATATACTCAATTTAGTTCAACTATTATGAGATGTACAAAAGGTTAAAGGTTAAAAATGAACGCAAATGTGCCTTAAAACACTCGTCACCACTCTTATGATAGAGGATCCATAAATTAGTTTTTATGTACAGTTTTTATTAATTTGAGTAATTTGACTTTGCTGGTATTTTCAAACCTAATTTTTTTTTGTCCCATCCAAGGTACCAAAACACTAAATGTCTGGGCAAAGCGACATGGGAAAAAAGGAAAGAATGAACCGGAGGCCCAACCTGCCCAGAAAGAAGCAGAAACACGCAAGTGTCCGGCAATTACGCCTGAACAAAGAGCGAAGCAGACGGCCTTCGAGAGGGTCCTCTATGACATGTCCCACAATGAGCAGGTCATCAGTGACATGATGCTGGGCCGCAGGATTGCTTTCTATGAACTCAGAGGAGAAATAGGGACTGGAAATTTCTCTCAGGTCAAACTGGGTGTTCATGCTTTGACTAAAGGTGAGACAATCAGTTGTCACTTAAGGAGGCTTTGGATGACTCTACATAAAGTGGCACAGAGTATCTGAAATACCATAAATCAAATAAAACCACTTGGAAACAAGTTATACCTGTTCTCAGGCTAGCTTTAAGTTTCTGCAGTTTGCAATTACATTTAACCAACAAGTGTCAAGGTCATTTTTAATGGATGTATGAGGCTAGTTCCTCTTAAGTTCACACCTGAAGAGAACTATGCACACATTCCTCTAATATCGACCACCAGAAATTGTCCAAAAGGTTTTGTCTTCAAAATGTTTAATTTGAAAAATGTGCTAGTACTATCTTTCCTAAAATTCTGTCTGATACCAATGACCCAGTAATTCATAATGATTAAATAATGATGAATAATTAAAAAATGTACTATATATGGAACATATTATTAATAATTAATATAAATAATGAAGAAGAATTTCTATGCTACAAGTGAATGTAGGCATTACAACAAAATAATAAGATCTACATTTTGAGATTTGCTAGTTTTTTTTTAATTATTAGTGTTTTTTAAAGATTAATTTGACATTTTCATTAGATGATATCTAAATGGTGTCTTAATTAAAAAAATTACATACAATACAATATAATATCTATAGTCAATCTCTAATTTTGAGGACATTTAAAATGTCCAAACACTTTATGGGGCCACTGCATGTGTAATTCAGATATGTACTTAATATAATTGTGATTTTTATCTATTTCATATAATATTAAATAGCCTGAGTCCAAATTTTTTTTAAGTGGGAATGAAATGAAAATTCCAATCCGATCTCACGAGAACATGTAACTATTTTACGAGTTGGCGATTTGTTTTTGCAAACAATTCATCCATACATATGTTTTTTTTTGTTTACCTCATAATTATTTAAAGGAATAGTGCACCCAAAAATGAAAATTTGCCTAAAAAGTACTCTCCCTCAGCCCGTCCAAGATGCAGATGAGTTTGTTTCTTCATCAGAACAGATTTGGAGAAATGTAGCATTACATCACTTGCTCACCAATGGATCCTCTGCAGTGAATGGGTGCCGTCAGAATGAGAGTCCAAACAGCTGATAAAAACATTACAATAATCCTAATAATAATAATACACATGACTCCAGTCCATCAATTAATCTTCATGTGAAGAGAAAAGCTGCTTGTTTGTAAGAAACAAATCCATCAAGATTTTAAACCGACCAAAATACCAGTCTATAATCCATAACACTTCCTCCAGCGAAAACTCACATCAAAATCCACTGATATATTTGCTTAAAACTTGTAAACGGTGCTTGATCTGTGCATATTGCTCTCCTGATTCAGATGGGACAATTCTTTCACTGGAGAAAACGATATTATGGATAGAGGACTTGTAACGGTTTGGAGTTTAAAACATCTTAATGATGAACTTGTTTCTTACAAACACGGAGCTTTTCACTTCGCAAGACGTTAACTGATGGACTAGAGTGGTGTGGATCACTTGCAGATCATTGTGATGTTTTTATCAGCTGTTTGGACTCTCATCCCTCTTCTCTGGTGACGTATGCAGGACTTCTCCAATCAATTAATCGACTTAAACCCGTTCTGCAAGCTCCAGCCATTTTTGGGTGCAACACTCACAACTCAAAATCCAGTCAACAACCGATTGCATAGAACCAAGTCCCTGCTGTACATTTTGTCTAGTTGAGAATCCATTACACTCGGATGTACTTCACAATGAGATCTGCCGATACTTCATCACTTCATCACGACATTACCCTCTGTGGATTGCTGTGTTCTGTCAGTTTGTAGCTTCTGACAGCAGGCGGCACAGTTGAACAGGGTCTGACCACGAGTTGATCCGCTCATGTAATCCCGTCAGATTTACAGCACCCCCTCTGTGAATCACGCTAATATTTTTGGTGGGTTGGTTGAAAGGCCTCTTGAAAACAACACAGCAGGGAGGCCTCTCAAGCATTTTACCACACATTTGTTTAAAGACCTTCAATAAGATAAAAAAGTCACTTGAATATTTCGCTAGCATCCCACTAAGTTTGTAGCTATGACATGGATTTCCCCCTAAATACAGTTCACTGTTATTGAACACTCCTCTCTCTCTGTCTCACAGAACGTGTTGCAGTAAAGATTCTCAATAAGGCGCGTCTCGACAAGAAGTCACAGAATCTGTTTGCCTCAGAGATCATCTGTATGGAAAATCTGTCCCATCCGAACATTGTGCGTCTGTATGAGGTGCTCGAGACCAGGAAGCATGTGTACCTCGCTATGGAGTATGGCAGCGGAGGAGACCTGCTCTCACGCATCACCAGCATGGGGCGCCTGTCAGACCTGGAAAGCAAGCTCATCTTTGCCCAGATCATCTCAGCCATCAAATACATGGTGAGAGCAGCAAGGCTTGTCCTCGCCTGACCTGACAACAGCTCCTGTTTATTAATGCTGCTTGTGAAGACAAGCATCGCTCTTAATATTGCTTGATATTAACCCCTCATCCTAAGTATTAAACTGCATTACTCATCCTGCACATGCTAAAGACGTGAATTATACCTCAAACTGTGTGATTTATTGAGAAGAGGTGTTCTGTTACATTTCTAAGCAATTAGACTTGTGAGTTTTAATTAAATGGGTTGGAAAGTCCTATAAACATAGATTATGAGACTTGAATTTTGGTCATTTGTTCAATTCAATTAGACTATTTTAGTGAAATTTGTATTTTATTTTATTTTTTACCAAAAAACAAAAATGTCTGCACACTGAAAGACATACAATTAGACCAAGGCAAGAGTCTATCACAAACATTACTTTAATTTAACATCTATAGGGTGACAAAAGTGCAAAAAAGTGAAAAGACGTTTCAGCTCATGCTTTCTTCAGTGCTCTAATTGTATGTCTTTCAGTGTGCAGACATTTTTGTTTTTTGGTTGATCAAATTTTTCTTGATTTACGCACCTGAGAACGGACTGGTTATCTTTTTGGAGCACATACAATATCTTTTTTGATAGTTATTTTTTTTAGTCAATATTACTGGTCAGAGGTAGATTGGATTTTTTTTTTTTTAACTGAAAAAATTTAAAATTTGAACTGAAATAACAATACCGTTCAAACATTTAGGGTTTAGATTTTATATTGATTGTTTGTTTTTTTTTAAATGACATTAATACTTTAATTCAGCATTAAATGTATCAAAAATGTCAGTAAAGACATTTATAATGTTACAAAAGATTTCTATTCATCAAAGAATACTGAATAAAATGTTTCTACATCATGGTTTTTGCAATAATATTGAGCAACACAGCTGTTTTCAACACTGATAATAATCAGAAATGTTTCTTGAGCAGCAAATCAGAATATTAGAATGATTTCTGAAGGATCCCGTGACACTGAAGATTGGAGTAATGATGCTGCAAATTCAGCTTTGATCACAGGAATAAATTACATTTTAAAATATATTTACATAGAAAACAGTTATTTTAAATTGTAATAATATTTCACAATATCACCGTTTTTATTTTTGATCAAATAAATGCAGCCTTGGTGAGCAGAAGAGACTTCTTTCAAAAAACATAAAAAAAAATATTACAGACCTCAAACTTGTGAACGGTAGTGTATAGGTCAAGAATTATATTTTAGTTAAGAACATTTATTTGATAATAATAATTGATTAAATTCTGTAATTGATGCACAAAATTATTACTGACTGATCAAACCCTAAATGAGAATTATTGTTATTAATTAAGATGGATCAGCAAAATTCAGTGAATTACATTAAGATTTTTGTCAGTGGTCAGTTTAAAGTAGACATTTTTCCATTATATGACATGTTTACATTCTGCACACATTTGTTTACATGGTACAGTATAAGCATTTTCTCTAATTATGAATTTGTATGTGTTTCATTTTACACAGTATGATTCAGTCTAACGGATCTATCTATTTCATTGTTTATTTTTCAGCATGAAAACAACATCATCCATCGTGACCTGAAAGCAGAAAATATTTTTTATACCACTTGCTACTGCATCAAAGTGGGTGACTTCGGTTTCAGTGTTGTCAGTGAGCCGACCGAAACCCTGAACACGTTTTGCGGCTCCCCGCCGTATGCGGCACCTGAGCTGTTCAGAGACAAAAGCTACGTGGGCCGTTATGTGGACATCTGGGCGCTGGGTGTCCTACTCTACTTTATGGTGACCACCACCATGCCTTTCTACGGCGACAACTTAGGCCGACTGAAACGCTGCATCCTGCAGGGGGCGTACAGCATCCCGCCCCACGTCCCTGAGTCCTGTCAACTGGCCATCAAAGGCATGCTGAGACCCGTACCTGTGGACCGGACCACGGTGTCGCAGCTGATGCTATGCCCCTGGCTGAAGGGCATCGAATATCCCAAACCCTATCCTGCTTTCAATGCGACGCCCAATTACCTAGCTGACCCTGCGAAGAGCCTGTGCGTGGAGGAACAGGAAGTGAAGTCAGCCCTGAGCGAGCTGGGCATCAGTGGCACACATCTGCAGAATAAAACCTGCACTGACTGCCGCAGCCCAATAACAGGAACTTATCGTATCCTGTTGCACCGCATCCAGAAGAGGAGACCCGTGGAAGCGGTAGGATATTCCGCCCTGTACCCAGAGGATTTTGGTACCAAGAAATACTGGACCAACAACGCAACGGCTAAGCACAATCCTTCGGCAGTGTGTAACATCCTATGAAGACAAGTGTTGAATGATTCATGGGTGGATAATGTGTTTGATGCCATGTTTCAGGAAGTAATGAATTTACATGTATGAAGTTGTGCTGTTTTTTGTTGTTGTTGTTGTTGTTGTTGTTGTGAAACCCAGCATCCCAGAATCAATCCCAAGATGAGTATTTTACTTTCTATAATATTTTTGTAATATATCAAGTTAGAAGGTTCCCTTATTAGTGTTTTGGTGCTTATCTGCTGCTGAATCTGTGGTTAACAGCACAAAAAGAATAGCCCATTCCTGAAACGAAATCACTCTTACAAGCCAGTTCTTTTTAATGAATCAAACATGTACAGAGCAACAAGTGTAGCCCGATATCCGAAACTAATGACTCTCTTGAGCTGGTTCTTTTTAGTGGTCAAAAACATACTGCTCAACAAGCGTAGCCTGATTCCCGAAGCGAAAGTTTCTTATAAGCCGGTTCTTTTTAGCGAATCAAAAGCATATAACACAACAAATGCAGCCTGATTCCCGAAATGAATGAACTGATTCCTTTTAGTGAATCAAAAATATTCAGCTCAACAAGTGTAGCCCCATTCCCGAAATTAAATCATTTTTACCAGCCAGTTATTTTTAACGAATCAAAAATGTACAGAGCATCAAGTGTAGCCCGATTCCTGGAACTAATGACTGTCTCGAGCTGGTTCCTTTTAGCGAATCAAAAACAAACAGCTCAACAAGTGCAGCCTGATTCCCAAAATGAATGAACCGGTTCTTTTTAGTGAATCACGAACATGCGGTGCAACAAGTGCAGCCCGATTCCTGAAACGAATTATGAGCCGGTTCTTATGAGCCGGTTGTTTTTAACGAATCAAAAACATACAGCTAAACAAATGTAGCTTGATTCCCGAAACGAATGGTTCTTTTAATGAATAGCTCAAAAACGGGATTGAATCATTATAACGGAAATATACTCATATTAATCAGAATGAATCAGTTGTACCGCATAGTTTTTGTGTTCTATTTTACAAAATCTCCAGGGTCCAATGGTGTCCAAGGTCTGAGACCACTTGTGCAGATACTTAAATTTGTAAAACTTCTTGTTTATTTTTATGTCACTTTGTTTTAATTTTTTTAACAACAATAAACCCTTCTCACTGAGGGCTCAGACTTTTAGACCTCAATGAGGTATGATACAGCTGCTTTCCTTTTAACAACCTATTAGCCAATATATACAAATCAAAACATTTCATATATTAGCAGCAGAGATTGCGTGCACATTTGGATTCATCATACACATGTAATTCTAATGGAGGATGTTTTTATTTTGCAGTCAATCCATAAGTGCACTGTAAAAAAATTCTGTAGTTTTTACAAAATAATTTTGGCAGCTGTGGTTGCCAGAATAATTTTGTAAAAAATACAGAAAAACTGTAAACACATTTACGGTATAAAAATAAATTTTACAGTATAAAATTGTAATTTACAAACAAGAAAATTTGAATGTAAACCAGTAAATTCAACAATGCACACTGCTATTAAAATCTGTTTTGTACCTTTAACATACTGACAACCACCATAATAATGCAGGTGGTAAAAGAGAAAGCCACATGAAGAATCAAAGCTCATCACAAGTAGCTTCGCCACAAGCAGAAGTATATACTAATATATAGAAGGTTCACAGAGTCATTCATGCAAACACAAAACACCATCATGGTAACACACATGATACTTAAATAATGCATTAAACTTTCATTAAACGACAGAAGATGTAACATAAAGCCCAAATATACATAACTAATAACAAAAACTATTAAAAAAACATGATTATTTAAACAAAATACTTTCAAATGTGGAGTGTCATGCAGGGAATTCTGGGAATATCAGTTTACTGTTTTTGACTGTAAATTATACATTGATTTGTTATTTTTACTTCTAAAAACTGTAAAATTAACAGCATTTTACTGTAAAATTACATGAAATGTCTGGTTAGATATTTTACAGTTTTTCCCTGTATATAGTACGGGAACTTACTGTTAACCTATTAACAGTTTTTTTCCGTAGCGTTTCTACTAAATTTTACAGTTAAAATTACACTTATTTTTTACAGTGTGGTCATTTACTGTTGCCAAGTTGAATATGGAGATATGGCCAATACTTAACGGTTAGGAAAACATTTGATACATTTTTGTATCACTGACTAGTTGAATGTTTGAGAATATTGCTTGTTTGATATTGTCTGAGCCACAGCTTTGGGTTGAGTGTCATATGAAGTAAATATTCGCAATAGGCCTAGTTACAGGCTGTTCTGGCCTTATGTAACAAAGTTCACATGTATTTTTATAAAAGCCTGACAGATTTGATGTTTAATTTGATGGACTCGACAGCCATCTGTTTCCATTTAAATAGCTGAATTGCTACTTAGCAATCATTTGCTGATCTCAGGCAGGGTTTACATTGAACGTATGACGCAAAGGATTAAGCGCTAATCAGCAGTTAATCCTAATTAGAGTGGTGCTTTATAAAAAGCTTGTGGTATCAGCGATTATTCCATTCTATAGAATTAATCATCTTTATTTTTCCTGATAAGGGAAACAAGCCATGGCACATTCATATCAGGAATGGAAGAGATCTGCCAAGATGCTGTTTTTACAGGCATAATAGTGTTTTGTAGTTACACACACATGCCTTTGACCTTCTAAATCATATTTAGATACATGTCATGTTACTAACCCTTATATTACTCAATAACATTACATATAGATCTGAAATTGTTATTGTACTCCACTGCAATCATTTGCAGCATGATGTTTAATTATCAAGCATTGCATGTGATTTATTGTTACCTGATTGCACGTTAATATTATCTTTTTGTTTGAGCTCATGAACATGACAAATATATTGTACTTTGCTAATATGATACGTAACATTTCATATAACGTTGTCACACGAATTACAGATGCTACTTGAAAAATACATTGTATTATATTTTTGTATAATATTTTCATGACAGTTAAGTACACTTTCCTCTCAGGTTCTCATTACTGTGATGCAATAATAAATAAATAAATACTGTTTGAAAATGATATATTAGGAAGTATTTATGCATCAGTGTATTAATATAGAAATATAGGAATTACAATTAAAAATAGCAGGACATCAAAAAATAAATAAATGTCCCAATGCATATGGTAATGAGAATATGAGAAAATTTAGAAAAAAAAAAGTCATAACATTATAGACTAATGCAAAGTCTATAATGCAAAAAATTTTAAATCTTTATGCAATACATTTACTTTTTCATTTTATTTTGGTGTGAACTGTGACATGGATTTTTGAAATTCCTAAGCTTTAATAAAAGAATATACATTGCCGGTGTACACCTCTATAATTCATGAAAACAGGTATGACATAAATCAGTGAGTGCTTCAGAATCAGTGCTGTGGTTAAAAAAGAAAAAAGAAAGAACAGAAAACTGCTCGTTGAGCAACATCTGATCAAAAAGTATATCGAGACATTTATTCTCTTATGTAATCCAATGCATCTTGTTCTGAAAAATTGCGAAAGCAAACAAAATGAATAGTAAATATGTACCCTAGTGATTAATTACACAAAAGACTATCCAGTAATCCAAATAACCAATTTATTTTATTTTAGGAGTTTACTTTTTCTTAACTGGAGCCTCTGAATTGCTCAATTTGGATAAGATATCCAGTGTAAACAAGTGTGGGACTGGATTAACTGTCCTTAGATTTGCTGTATGTTTTAAAAAATCTTTTCTGGTATTGTTAAGCATCAAAGGTTTAGACTCTCTTAACATCAACATCTCTCACATAACAGGCCGTCTTCTCAAATACTCAGCAACAGGACTCTTGTGTAAACATCCTTTCAAATCTTTCTAAGACGTGCAAAGCATGGCAGAGATTTACTGTCCTTGGAACGAACCGTTTCTTTTCCTGTCTTTCTGAATTCCCTTGACCTCAATTTCACAACATTTGTGCACTTCCTGTACGCTACTAGTTTGTGCTTGCAGCGTTCATGGTTTCTTCAAAGTGATTGGCAGTTTGCAGGCTGATATGGATTTTGCAATACTCTACTTGGCCACTCATTCCAGACCTGTTCACACATGCTTTGGCACCAAAAAGTGCAATCAATGACAAGTGAAGATCACACAAGATCACTGATGTACTTTGATATCAAATGCTACCTGCCACTATACAATATATTTCACAATATTAACAGGCAGTTCATCTTTTGTTTACCATTTAGATGCACTCTTAAAAAGGCGTTGGCTTTTTCAGTGTGCAGTGCTCTTTATGCTGTTAAACTGCCTTTCTAAACGATAGGATACCTCAAATTTAAAATAAGACCTTAAAACAAAATGTTTAGTTGCACTCACATTCAAACACACTGCACCTCTCTGATAAAGGGTGCATTCTCTAAAATCTGACGAGACTATATAAATAAATAAATAAAAATAAATATTTTACATTACATTTATAAACTTGGGCTTTATACTGTTTATTTATTTTTTTTACTTCAAATTTATACTTAATTGTATTGAATGTAGTGTACTTCAAATTTTAAAAATAATAGTTACTTAAAAATGTTCTTGCAAATATATTATATTCATGAAATAAAAGGCGACTTGCACTTAAAGAGAGTAAACTATCATAGCTATGTTTCTTAAGTACACTTTTAAAAAGTGCACTTTGCAATAATGTCAAATGAAAAGTTGTACTTTAAAGTACATTACAATTTTTAAATCATTATGTTTTAAAATCTGTTTTAAAACACTTACTTTGATGTCTTGGCTAACATAGTAAAGCACCTGTAAAGGACTTATCATTTGAACTGCAGTGTGTTCTTCAACATTGCATTTAAAGTTCATATATTCTAAATGTTCTAATTCAAAAATGCTACAAATGTGCAATTGCAAATATATGAAAGAAGTGTCAATAGGAATGACATTGAAGTATCTTTTAGTTTATCATAAATGCTTGTCCGTACATTAGTAGCATTTCAAAGACAATTCAAGTAATTATGGAATTGCATGTGAAGCACCCTTACGTTTAAGTAAATGCATCTGCTATAAATTTAAACTATAGTATGTCTTGGCTAACATAGTAAAGCACCTGTAAAGGACTTATCATTTGAACTGCAGTGTGTTCTTCAACATTGCATTTAAAGTTCATATATTCTAAATGTTCTAATTCAAAAATGCTACAAATGTGCAATTGCAAATATATGAAAGAAGTGTCAATAGGAATGACATTGAAGTATCTTTTAGTTTATCATAAATGCTTGTCCGTACATTAGTAGCATTTCAAAGACAATTATTATGGAATTGCATGTGAAGCACCCTTACATTTAAGTAAATGCATCTGCTATAAATTTAAACTATAGTACATTTTCGTTTAATTGCAAAAAACATGCAATTAAGTGTCCAAAAACATTACATTAGGTTCACATGTAAGTTTACTCTTTTAAAGTAGATTATTTTCATAATAAGTGCTCTTTTTAAAGGATGCTGGAGTGTACTTCTTTTGCACAAGGGCAAAGTTTTACTCTTTATTTAGATCGGTTAACAATCTAGCCAGCCTGTTGTGCAATTTGGAGCATTTATCTCAGCATATTGCTATTTGCACATCTGGATGCATGCTAACTGCGTTTCATTGTCTCTGTACTTGTATTCTGCACTATGAAAATAAAGCTGAATCTGATCGCTATCGCTGCTTTGACTCAGATTGCGGATTATTAATGGAATGCTGTGGTTTCTTAGATATCTCAGTACATTGATCTCAGTCAGTCAGATGTTTTTCTAGAAGGAATGTTCAGTTTATAAATGAGAGCTTGTTTATCCTCGGTATAGTGTGTCATCTGGATGGCCTAGTCTGCAAAACGTGAAAAAATCGACCATCATTATTCATACAAATATCATCTCCCTTATGAGAGGGGGTTTCTGTCTTCTGCGAACATAGTTAATGAGCAAATCGTCCAAAGATGATGTATTATAAATGAATTCACAGATCAGACTTTAAAAAGTGAAATGTTACTGTAAGTTTGAGCGATCACAGGTCCTGTTGTTATCGGAATCGGAGACAGGCAAATAGCATGTGAAACAGTCCATGCTACAGACCGATGCTATTAAATAGTCATTTCTGAGCACTTGTAACATTTCTCATGGCTACGGGCCAACAGAACCCGCTTTATTGACTTAGTCATGAATGATGCAAAAGACAAGTTTGGAGTTGTTGGAGGAACGAGCACACACTGATGACATTGTCCTGAAAAAGTTCATCCGCCCTGAATGTGAGTGTGAGAAAGGTAATGCTACATTG